GGTGCCAGTTCCAGTAGATTACATGAAGTTGATCATCAGGCTGACACAAAATACAGCACAAGCTAACACAGAACTTCAGCAGGCATCAAACCAAACAAGATGCCACCTTTGCTCTTAATCCTGAAGACTTTAAAGATATGTATTACTGAATATACTCAGAGTAGCTTTCTAATGAAATTTTGTTTCACACTCCATCAGTCTACACTCTGTCAGTCCACTCAAATAACTAGACTTTGAACACAATTTGACACGAAGATATATTCTAAAAAAGAAAGAATTAAGTTCCTGCTAAGTCAGTTAAGAACAGGTGCCCAGAAAGAGAAATACTATTTGTTGGCACCAACACTAAAAGACTGCAGCATGAAGTCACCCCTTTTTGAACACCAGGAAACCCAAAACTCAGTCTCAGGAAACAGAAACCAGGTTCTGCAGCTCATAGACAGATATTAAACACCATCTATACACTGATCTACATATGGTATATACTTATGGAATAGTTCTTAGAGGCATTTTAGAGGCATTCTTCTTTTCCTCTAACTGAAGAGAATTTGGAAGAAATCAACATGGATAAGCATCACCATTAGCATCCATATCGCACAATTCTCATTTCAATAATATTTATCTCGCATTACTTCAATAAATAAAATTGAAGTAATTTCAAAGTGGTTGCAAAACACTTGTAGTTATCTTTAGCATTCTTACAACTCTGCTTCATACGTCAAGAACAGTTGAGAAGATTAAACAGCCAATTTTATTAAACGGATTGACAAAAACTGAGATGAGTCTGGAGCCTTTTTCCCTAAAAAGTTACACAAAAATCCCAATGTTCAAACAACATCATTAAGTTTATAAAACAAAGCAATTAACAGAGGAATGACAGAATTGCCTTTGCAACACACTGCTTCATACAGTACCGTAAATTGACTCTTTAGGACTAAATCAGAGTATTAATTTTTTTTTTTTAAGAGAAAAAAAGGAAACCATGGACCATTGCTTATGCAGCTGAACGGTAACCCAAAGAACTGCAGTCTGTTCCTATTTTTGCTACAGAACCTTACATGATGCATGGCACATCAATTTTATCTTTTCACAGTTGGTTATTCAGATAGTGAGGAATACATAATGAACACCTGATCTGAGTGTTTAGGACTTCATTTGTAACACCCCACACAAAGCACTAAAACACATGAAAAAGCATCAAGTGCCTTTCTCCCAAACAAAATCCATAGCCCTGACATATGAACATAGGCTCCTTCACAATACATTGGGAAAGTTCGGGCAGTTCAGAATGCAGCTCATAAACCAACACACAGCTAGCCTATGGAAACTTTCAACGAGCAGTGGTGTGTTTTAAATTTCCCCTTCCCATGGGCCTAACAACCAAACTCACAGCCACAGTGGAACTCGCTGAATGTCACACTCTACCTCAAACTCTTCCTATATGTTCAAGTTTCTCCCCTCAAAATCAGAAAACATGTAACATTTCCTTAAGAATGCTTTAACAAGCATCAAAAAAAGACGCCTATAATGAATTCCCTTCAGCCACTAGCTCAGTGTTTAGAACACTTGTCCTGGCTCCTGCATTTTAGGTTCTCCTCTGACACCCTCCAACTTCTGTAATAGTGCCCTAGGCCTCCTCATCACTATTTGGTTCTTTTTGCCTCTTCAGTCACCACTTCTTACTCATTTGCAGTCTCTAGTCACAGGCCCACTTTTGTTTAATTTTCATCATATGAACCTTCATGGCAAAGTTTAAACTTCCCCTTTCTGCTCAGCCCAAACAAAAGCACTTCTAGTAGAAAAGGGATTTGTGTAATTCATCTGCTATACAGTAGTTACTCACTATGTAGTAAATGGACATTTTTCAGAAGTCATAAACATACAATGTTGGTAAGCTTGCCTAATTTTCACAGAAGTGGCAAGACACTTCCTTTACACAAAGGTCAATCCCAGACATGTTTAGTTCCTCCTTTAGTCCCTTCCAAACATCAAGTATTCTTCCACAGCCTCATGGTGGCCTACGTTCTTCTAAAAAATTTGAGGTAAACACCTGAGACCTGAAAAAAGGGCTATTCTAACAGGATGTCAAGCAACATACAACCACTCCTATTTATGAGGCACAAAGCCTCATCTCTAATCATTTCTAAATAACATCTCTGCCATAGAAACTAACAATACTTAATGCAGCAGTAAGCACAATATAACTAAGCTATTTAATCAAAATTAAATCACACCAAAGGTTTGTTTGGGGTTTTTAATTATTATACCCTTATACATTCGCTATCGATACATATTCTGAAGGAAAACACATGCTTTCAACTCAGTGTCTGTTTACAAAAATGACAGCTACCCATACCACCACTTTCAGACCAACCTCTTCTTACTACAGAATAATACTTTACATGCCAACGGATAGCTTTTGAAGTCTGAGTAATAAAACCAGTCACAATCCTCAACCCATATAGCTTCTACTCAGCAAAAGGGAAACCTTTAAGGATGTCTAAAGATCAGCTTATCCAAATTTCTAAAGAACAAAGATGAAAGATGAAGTAGAAATTAAGAGTGCCCTTATGGGAGTGGGGGATGGACACAGACATGACACAGACAGACGACACCACTGGATCTGGGAAAAAATATATAAATATTTACGGTAATATGACAACAATCTAGATTCCAAATGGATTTACAGAAGAGGAACATAAGGAAAGCTGCCCTAAGAAATTACTCAACTCCTCAAGATATACAGTGTGTATTTTATATACTTTATCAAACAAGACCCATACAGAAGGTAATCAAATTTACTAAGAGAATGAGCCTCCATACCACATACAGTGCATTGATTGAGGATTTGTATTTTGCAAAGCGCAGGTCATTCTTTAACTACAGAACATGCAAGATTAAAAATGCTAAACAAAAAATCTGTAGCCACAAAAAGCTAGGTGATTAACAGCTTCAGGAAACTGCAATTTTTTTAACCACTTGGTGGTTTTAACTAGAACAGTGTTTTGTTACTATGTACAACATATAAAGCAAATCAAACTTGATAAGTGAACATGCTACAACACGCCATGAGAACCACTGAACAGCAAATAATAGGTTAGTGTTTCAAAACGCATTGCTTCACTTGGTACTAAAGATCATGAGATCTTCTGGATTACCATGTTTCAGTTCATGAAAGGTAAAAGAAACTTTAATAAACCAATTTCTAGCAAACTTCGAGTCACAGAAAAAGGCTAGGACTTGCAAAGGCAAGCCACAACATTAACTATTTGTAGAAGATCCACATCAAAACACTTGCAGAGCAGGAGAAGCTGAGAAAAAATAGTTGATAGATTGGCTGAACACACTCGGTTAGAAAGTCCCTCCAAGATTCCCTGAAGATTTTACAGGTATTACGATGTGAAGAATCCTAGTATCTCCAGTCAATGTCTTAAAGAAAAAAACAACCAAAACAAAACAAACCCCCACACACTACACCAAAAACACAACCAAAACCAAAAACCCAAACAATAGGAAGAAAACCGGCAACAGGATTTCTGCGCTGCTCAGATACACAAGACTGAAATTGAGCCTCATGCTCACACCTCAAAGTTTCTTCAAACTCAACTTCAAACTTTTGTAAATATGAGTAAAAATCGATGCACGTATTTTGTCAAAACGTGACCTGAAACACGATAGCGATGAAAAACTAAGGAAAAAATATGGCAAATACTGGTAAGGTTTTACCTTGCAGGTAATTCTGCAGTCTGTAATTCAACATTTTTACAAAGTCTGTAATTCAGGCTTTTTCTACCAATGCATTACTAAGAAAAAAGATCTGCCAACCCCATACTTTCATTATTTTAGTCATAAATTTAGATTTAGAGGTACAACCACATCGCAATGCACACTCTCTTCTGCACCACCAGATGACGATGGAACCATTCACCCACACCATTAACCAGATGTAAAGACCCTTTTTAGAAGATTATCCAAGAACAATGGAGATCAACATCCATTCCAAGTGGAAGTGAGCTAAAACCAAATCAAATAAGGAGATTAAGGGTCTGAAGACTGACATTTGTTATTCAATTTTTTGTCACTATATAGCTCCTTCATATAATACACATTTCGGCAATACATTCTTTTATTTCAATTTTTATGTAATGATTTTGAATAATGCAAAACTAAAGTCTATCGACACCTGCAACAATTATGAAGTTAGTTGTACAGGACGAGTGCAGGTGAGCAGTTTTGCATGTATTCTTAGAGGGCTAAAAGAGTCAAAGCAAATTGGCCACTGTCCATTACCACCCTGTGTTGAATTCAGATTACAAGTTTCCCATAGACAACTATTAATCTAGCTGTAATAAAAATGTAAACTAATAACCATTATACTTTTAAAAAGAATTTTAAAAAGTAAGTAAGGTGAAATTGTTAAAAGAATACAACAACGATAGAAATTAGGAGTCAGTTATGTTCTTTGTACCCTCACAGGAAGACTCCCAGGTGAATGCCAAAGTATTTCGTCATCACAGTGAGCTTGACCATGAGTACCAGTAAAATGTGTCAACAAGAGGTGTCAGTTCTTTGATAAGAAGAAAAAAATACAACAGGTTGAAACACAAAATTAGATGCACCTGTTTATCAGTACACTTGCCAAAATGTCTACCCCTGTTTTTCTTTCCTGTCTAGTCACAAGCGCTACACAAAAAAAAAAAAAATCTCAAACTGAAAACTAAAGCAAAGGAAGCTGCATGGAAACAGCCTTCCTAAAGGACATGTTTCAGTGCGTATCCCAAAACTAATGATAAACAGGAATAGGAAGGTGTATGTACAAATGCACCTGAAGATGTTTTCTCATTGGACCCCAATACCTCTAGTTTATCACCTGTGTTATGTAATATTCAGTGTTTCAGGAACAGGATTTCCTTCATGCTTTTCAGCAAAAATTAAATTTATCAGAAAGTGCTACTATTAAGCAGATGTGCCACATAATTAGCAACGACAAATCCACTTACTTTTTTCTCCTTCTCATGATGTTTATCCTGAGAGTGAGAGGAAGAATCACTTAAACTTTGATCATATGACCTATTAGATCCCCGTTTGCTCTTTTTCTAAAAAGAGAAAATATATTTATGGATAGAGAAAAGGAATCATTTGAATAAATAAAAAGTATAAAGCATTTCAACTGACAAGATGCCTTACTGCCTGAAGAAAACTTCAGTTACTGAAAACCTGACAAATTGCTAACAAAATAACAAGACTACCCAATGTATACCAGGAAAAAGCCTCTCCTTGTATCAACTTTTACACCTCCCACGAATTTGCAAGATATGCTTTCCACAAAGAAATGAGATATGCAATTTTTTAAAGGTTAAGAGATGCTAGACACTTTTTCAAGTTTTCATAACATAAAACAGAAAAGAGGCTGCTCAAACAAGTATCACATGAAGTCACAGTGCTAGTACTGCCACATGCTTGAAATACATTGTGAGGTGGCTGTTTTATGGCTTCGTGATTTCTTAAAGCAACCTGTCTGCAATATTTTCATTAAAATGGTTTAAAAAATAGGATACAGAATGGTATGGTCATTTATGCATTCACAAGTGCCAGACATAACTGCCTGTATTTCTATAACGTTTGAGAGCCTAGTCCAGGACTGCAAACACTTTATGCTAGGCCAGTGTTCAAAACGTTTGTTATTTCATCCTAACTGAGGTAGCATTATAAAGACACTTCAGGTCAGTGCTTTGCTAACAAAAGTTTCCAGGGGTTTAGTAGATACACATCACCTACCATCTTCAGTAGCAAATACTAAACACCTGTATTTACCAGGCATCAACAGTCATAATAATCCTAAAGAAACACTAAAACACTTAAACCATCTTGCCAGTCTGTACTGTTTGTATCACTGTAATTAGCTATGTCTATCATTAAAATTGCTTTTTAAATAAACATACATGTTCGTAATCATAGTAGCACTGGAATATTGAAATCAAATGCATAATAGTGTAAGAGCTTGCCTTCACTGCTAAGTAATAGACCATTTTTGTTCTTTTTGTATACTTAGCTCAAGATAATAACTTAAAAAAAAAATCTTAGCTTAGTAACGGCCTAGAAAGCCATCCCTTATCTTCATTATGAAGCAAACATCAATATTCACAAGAGCACAGAGCTAACCTCACCAAGCTTCTAGAAAGCTAAAATGGTTCATTGGCCCTGTGTTTTTACTTCATTGCAACCTATGCTAAAGCCACCCATGTATTTGCCTTTTCTTAGCAGTGAAAACAAGTAATCAGCCAGTTTAACTATACTTACAGCAGTATCTGAAGTCTATATATTTTAATTTTCATATTTAAATATTCATAAATAACATTTTTTACACATCAGGAAGTCCTTCAAGTCCACACACCCACACATATACACAGAAACAGGTATCTCAAACTGTCAAACTGGTAAAAAGTGACAGGAAAGACTCCAAGAGGTCCGATCCAAAACCTACCGAAATAACTGAGAAATTTCAACAGGTTTTGTTTGCTTGTTTGTTTTTTTTTAAAAAAACAAACCTCAAGTCACTTCCTTGAGGTTGCGTTTCAGGGAACTTATAGGCAGGGAATATCCACTGGCTACAAGCTGAGAGATAGAACAAAAGGGAAAACACTTTAAAAAAGTAACAAGCCGAAGGAAATGGAGGGCTTCTTTATTCTCCAATATACAGAATAACAAGTAATACATACCTAGAAGCCAACTAATCGAATAGCAAAAGAAAACATTACAGAAACTTAATGGGAAAAAAAAAAAAAACACCACTAAAAGTGCACACTACTTCTGGCAGAGGGGAAAAACCCACACATCTAGAAAGTAACCACTTACAAAAACATTTTCAGCCAGTACTTCTGCAACTATGATTAAAACATTGTTTCAATTAAATACAATCTACTTTGAGCTACATGAAAATATTATTTCTAGTGTTAATAGCAATACAGAGTGAAAAAGTAAGTCAGTGACAATTATTTACAGAATTTAACAATACATACCAGTTTACTAAAATGGTATTTACAGTAGCCACAGTATTGGACGTTATCTGCACCATTGCCTTCTTCTTCACAAAGAAGTCCTGCAAACTGTGCACTAAAATAAAGAAAACAACATTCAAGGAAGGCAATTTTACATCAGCTCGTGCCACAGTATCACAGCTGATAATGTACCGATGCATTTAATAGAAGACATTTCCACACAAGTGGCTCACAATGGCATGCAGGCACATAACCAGCCTTTGCAGTCCAGTGAAAAACCTGTCTGGTTCATACTTTGGCCTGATACCTCTTTCATAGTCCTTAAGCCACTCACACAAGTTTATAGCTTGAAAATCTACGTCTATTGTGCAGCTACTCGCACAAAAAAATAAAGCAAGTAATTTACAAGGATTCTTAGTTCAAATTCAAGCCAAAAATTATCTATGGAAAGAACAGTTTTTAACAAAACCATACTACGGATCCAAAGAAGAAATTTTACTGAAGTTGCATATATCTTTCTCTGCTTTGCCAGGAAAATGATTTTTTTGTTGTTTGTTGGTTTGTTTTTTTTTTAAATAGAAATTCAATGACATAATAAATCAAATCATATTTATTGATTTAAAAGACTGTGGCAGGTTAATTTCTTTTAGAAAGAACAAGACTTACAAGTTTCCTTGCCTAGGCTAATTATCACCTTATTCTACTACATTTTTCCAAATCAACTTTGCTTTTCACTATTTGTAATGTTGATTTATTTTCTTTACCAAAACCAACTTAGACTTTGAAAACCAAATATTCAGTTTAATTTTCCATATCATTTTCATTATCATAATAATGCAATGTTACCGTCAAAACAATGCATAGGAATATTTAAATGAAAGAATAATATAGAAGGCAGCTTATTTTCATTGCTTTTTAAAATCACTTTCCCCTCATTTATACATTATGCAGAAGTACTGCTTCCTAATACAAGCACACCTACAGCAGATGCCAACTACAGAAAAAATTTAAGAGGATGTCTCTAGGCAAAGATTTCTCGTTCTAAGCTTGCCATACAAAACCAGATGGACTCAAGCTCATTCTTCCTTAGACATCAGTTTTATTAACCCAAAACCGATACACCTGTCCTGGATCTCTGTCTGTAGTTTTCACATTTCTCTTTTTTTTAAATATTACAGAAGTCTCACAATATCCTCAGTCACAGTACTCTCCAGCTAGGTAACATTTTATAGCACACACCTGAGGTTTTTTTGAATCAAAAAACTCTAAAAATTGGCAAGATAAATATTTTAATTTTTAACCTAATTCTCACGTTCTTTATGGCATGCACTTTAAACAGGGTTTTGGAAGAAAGAAAAATTATTAAAAGGACTCTTGTATGCACCCAAGTATTTCAAAGAAAAGAGATCTTTTCATCCAAACACTTGGATGTACACATTTTTTCACATCTGTAAGTAACCTCTTTACATGGTATGCATGCTTTGAGGAACACAATCCATCTTCACCATAAAAAGAAACTTGTTATCAATCACATCCGGTGAAAAACCAGATTCTCACAAAAGAGTAAAACCTGCCAGGGTCAAGTAATTGAAAGAAAAAAAAATTGTCAAGAAATCAGCATCTAAACTACAGAATTATATCCTTTAAGATCTGCACAAGACATTCAAAGTATCACTTCATTACACTGAAGAAAATACATTGAAGAAATTTAAGCAGGTGTGCAAATACCATTTCCCTGATTGAGCTAGTCATGAAGCAGCATACTGGCGCACTCATAAAACCACAGATTATGTAGCTAGAGAGCCTGTGTAAATCTGCTATCTATTGCAAAATAGCTTCAACTGAATTTGGAAAAAAACCAAACAACACCTGTAAATTTTGCCTCCATTTACCTGTTGATATGTGGTTTAATATAATTATTCAGCCTCTTTTGGAAGTCCATGAAGTGAGACAAGCAAACCTAAATATCTTAAAGTGGAATGAATCAGATGGGGTCGCCGCTGTTTTCTCCAACAGCTATACATGAAACCTAAATGAGTAGGTCGGGATAGATGTGTACCACTTAGATAAAACCAGTGAGGTGAATTACCCCCAAATGGTTGGCAATCTGTACCCGTAGGGGCAAGTATAGTGCATTTTTATGTATAGCTCAATACTATTTCCCGCTGATTTACCAGAAGTAAACATTGAATCAGTTAGCAGGTGAACAAACAATGCCTTCACATTCCCATATCCTATAAAATATCATCTAAGAAAAATAATGTAAGACAAAAAAAAAACCAACACTCAACCTTATACACAGGAGCACATAGCATTTAATACAACCTAAGGGAGTATTATCAGGCAGCTTTTGCAGCTCACAGCAACGTCTATGCTGCCACTGCCATCTTGTTATGTTATAATAAAGTTAGGTATTTCTACACAAACCATTTTACTGTATTTCTTTACTCAGAAACATACTAAATAAAGAGTTTAAACATTACATTGTGTGTACTGATTTTTTCTGGAACATCAGAGATGTTAAATAATAAAACATACTTACCACGTTACATGAAAAGCTTGTCGACATCCATGTTTATTACATGTCATACAAGCACCAGTGGCTGCTTTACTTTCTCTGCCTTGTTCATCACAAATATAGCATGTCTATCAAAGAGAAAATACTTAACATGGTAAGAAGCATACAAATAAATTCTGTTACTCACAGAAGATTCTAGGGTGAGAACTACTGGATGTTGCAGCTAAGCTTATATAAGAACTTCTTTCTAAAAGTCTAATTATGTTTGTTTGCAAAAGGAGATCACCTGGTAGACACTTGGGATCCATGTAACACTTTGCCAACGCTAAAGCAGTACAAATACCAATTTACTTAAACTCCATATCACTACTCAACTAGCCAAACGGTTAAACAGCCAAAGGTTAACAGTATTAGCCTTCAAGATTTTCCTTGCTTTCAATTTGTGTTTATGTCCTTTGAGGTCGCACTCATTTTCACATTCATTTAACACTACCTGTATCAGTGGTGTTCAGAAACATCAAATTAGCCTAAGGGTACAAGATACCACCCGGTATGCATGCATATGTCTACGAAATTACATACAGAAAAACTGAAAACTTAAAATTTTATTTGTACATTTGTGTAAAGAATTTTCAAAAGCCTCATAGCATGCTTCAATGTTCGTATGATGCTCAGTTACCTTTAACTAAATATGGTGTTTAACAGAACTCTGCTTTAATTCAACATGACTTGGACAGCCCCATAAACTTCTTAGAAGCTAATCAAGCAAGAACCTTCTGTAAACAAAGTTTAAATTAGTATATTAAACCCATTTCAACGTCAAAATGCTAGAGCTAGAATGAAAACAACCTGTGTAGTACCTGAAAATCTTTTCACAGCATTTCTATCAATGTGTTTGTTTTACTGGGATACTATGGCAATTTGTAGTATTTTCAAAAAAGTTCTCGGTAAAATGGAAGAAAAAAAATTAACACAAAAATAATTCAAAATCATTCTCATTATTCAGTACTACTACTTGTTTAACATGTGGCAAATAAACACAGACGCATGCTGTAAGGAAGCTCACTATTATACTACACGTCACTACAATCCCTCACCAGCATTTCAGGGAGAAACACTGCGCAGAACTAAATCTCTTTCTATATTTTACTGTCCTAATTACTGAAATGTGGTTTAGAGAGATTCTATCATATCACATTTATTTAACAATGTAAAAATAGATTCTTAATGAAAGTATCCTTCAGCACTGGAGCAGTCAAGTGTCTGGTTTTAAATGAGGGAGAACCTTATTGAGGTAACAAACATCAACAACACACTGCTACCTCTGTAGAAATCCCATTACAAGACCTTAGACGAGGAAAGAGAATCTTCCCCGCCAAAAAAGAAAAAGAAAACCAACCACCAAAAAAAATTGTCTACATTTCAACTCTGACTTACTGCAATTGTATCACAACCTCCCTTCAAGGAGGCAAGGAATGAGTAGAACAATAAACAAAAAGAACATCAACCATGGGTAGCAGAAAATACAGTTTAGAAAAACAGACCAAGATACCACTGAAATAAAAAATATAAAAGGATAAAATGCAAAACCAGTACTATTTAGAAAGACCTGAAAATAAGTGAAATTCTGAGATCAGAACAGCCTTTTATAGAGGTATTTAGAACATTTAACGTGAGATGTCAGCTAACTGAAGCATTTTTGTTAACATGCAAGACTAGGGTAGGCAAGTCGTTCTTGTATGGTTTCCACAAGACACTTAAAAAGCATTAAATCCAATAGCTAATATATCCTAAAATCATACCCTATATCCTAACATTTGAAGGATCAGAGGGGGATAATCCTACTTAATTCTTTGCCTTGCTTCCTTTGTACATCAAGGTAGTGCATACAGATAATTCGGTTGTTTGACAGGGTCTGAGACTGGCTGCTTTTTAGTTTTCCTTACCATGACCTGACACATTCAGATTTTAGAAACAAACAAGGTCATGATCTATCAGCCTCATTTGAGTAACTATGTTAAGTGTAAGTAACTTCAAAAGTTAAGTAAGTTAAGTTAAAAGTAAGGTACCTCTGTAAACAGAGTTCAGCAGACCCCATAAAACTCAAACTCCAGTTACTGTTCTGTTTTTTCAGAGTTTTACCTTAAGATCTGCAATTTTTTTTCCTCGATGAAGCTCAGAAAGAAAAGCAATATAAGCATCACATTTAGTAAGGAAGTAGGCTCTGTTTTTCAACTACATATGACATTTAAGGTCTGTGTTTCAGGACCCCTTAAACCAATTTATAGTAAAATGGCTGAAAAACGATAACAAATGACCAGCTATATTACAAACAAGTTTAAACACAACATGGTGGACTGCCTACCCACTTTAACAAGCTCAAAGAAATTTTATCCTTCCTATAATAGCCATGAGAAATGTAAAACCTCTTCCCTAATCTTCCATATGAAACAGGGCGAAAGAAGGTTCATCTTCCTATTCCAACACGGACAGTAAGTTCTCTCTAAAGCTCACCTTCTCATACTTCTACCTTCTCTTAGACACATGAACAGTTTCAGAAGCCTGAGAACCGTATTCTTTCTTTGACAAAGCAGAAAAACAAAAACTTTCCATGCATTTGCAAATCCATGCAATTGCTACACCTCCTCTGGAATGTGGAAGTGTAAAACTCTGCTTCCCACCACCTACAGCAGCGCTGCTCTTCAGAGCTCTTAAGGGAAGACAGTACTTAAGACTTCTCCCAAACTCACTGGAAAATAAGCAAAACATTACACAAAGCTTTTAACTCAGCAGGGAAATTTTACTCAAAAAACCGCAACAAATATCTTAGTTTCTTTTATGACAAAATACACATTTTTTGCAAAGCTGCCTTTATGTTTCTGTCAACATTTTTCCTCCAAAGATTAAAAACAAACCTCCTTTGTAAAAGCAAATACAGAAGGGAAGATGAGGCAAGGAAAACCTTATAAAACAAAAAGTAATTTCAGAAAGCATTCCCTGCTTACAGAATCAAACCTAGGAGTTGTGCAGAAGTTTCTCATTGTTGCAGCAAGTACCAAAATAAAAGTCTAACAGCTGTCTTTACTAGGCAGATCAAGAAACTTCAAATGCATTTATTTTTTAATCAGTTCTTAAAAGAGATTCCTAAAAGCAGTAATTATATTCAATTACGATATACTTTCAAATGAACCTGAAAAAGGCAAATAAAGCTCACATAAAATAAACAGGTATTATCCATGCATAACCATCCAAAGAGTAACAACCTAAATAGGAGAGCAACTACTAGTCCATTTCTTTTTCAAAGTGACTGTGTAAGAAAAGCTCTCCTGTTAGTTAACCCATTAATCAAGTCATTCAGTGGATTCATTCTGTAATGTGATGGTTTTAATCCCAGAAGCACATAAACTTCAGGGGAATAGCAGTCAAATATATACATTGACAAGCCTCATGCTTTGGTGTCTGCTGCTGTTTCTTCTTGCGTTTAAGACTGCTGTACTTTGTAACACTGCATATTTCACACTGTTGAATAAAGAAATAAGTGCATAGAAAAACCTGTGTAAAATAAGTTGAGTTTTGCCAGGAGAAAGTAATGATGTTTGTTTCTAAAATAAAGACTACAGTAGAAATTCTCCCTTATGGTAATCTTCATTGGCCTATATTGTCCCCCAATTCCATATGCTAGCATTCTATATGTAACCAGCTGCACACGTAGAATTATTTAGGTCTTTACAGTAAATAAAAATCTTTCTTAAAACCATCCTATTCCAACCTGAGTTGACAGACAGAATGAAATTAGCACTAAGCCTGTCTAAAAAAAAAAAAAACAAACAACTCCAGTCATTTTTTCCTAATTACATGTTTACTTTTGTTCACAGTGTGCAACAAATGTTTTACGAACTGCTTGCCATATCTACTTCTCAAAAAAAGCCTTTCTCGTCCATTTCCTTCCAAATTCACAGTTACATGCTTTACAAAGTTTCTGACCTAAAACAACGTATCATTTAAATAAACACAATTTATACTGAATAGCAAGGGGGGTGGGGGGTGAAATTATTGCAGGCTACCTGAAAAGGGAATCAGTAGTTTTATTAGTTTTGGGGGTATTGCTCAAAACTAGCCTACTTGGGAACTGGTGGCAGTTTAGCCACAGCAGTACCAAACTCAGCATTGGCTACGGATTTACCAAAGAGGCGGGGAGAGTCCCCTGTCAGTGACTGCCTCTTAAATTCTGTGCTGTTACAAGAAAATGCAGTTGGCAGTGAAGTTAGATTGGGTTCAGAAGCAGCAACTGCACTGTAGCATTTCTTTGGTTCCCCTGAAACCTACAATCGCTACCTCCCTGAAACAAACAGATCAAACAAAAACAGGAAAAGCCAAGTTCTGTAAAAAGAGAGAACAAAAAGAAAAAAAAAAAATTTGCAGGCATGGGGTATAACCCCAAACCTGGAAATTTCTGATATAGATCTCATTATATTTTACAATATACTGTAGCAGCCTGTATGAAAGTATTTTTAGGTTGACTGTTAACATGGAAAACAGGCCCGAGTCAGAACACCCGCCAGAAATGCAGAAAACCAAGAGTTAGCCAACACTGGGAACTCTATCTACATGATCTGTATGGCACTAGTCATTACCTAGTAAGCAACAAAAGACATGGTAACTACAGAACAACACAATGCAAGTTGGAATTTTAATAGTAAAAAATAACTATACATCATTTATTTGGAACAAAACCAGTTCAAGAAAGAAGCAACTTTACTTATAATAAGGAATTAAAGACTAAAGACAGAGACCAACAGTGGAATTTGTGAATAAGTAGTATTAAAAAAAGGTACCCTGCATCTGTTAAGTTACAAGGATTTACTCATCCAACACCAACTACCATCAATGGAAACGATGCAAGATAAAACAAAATCGGAAGTGCTCCATGAAATCTTTGAAGTACATTAGGGAAGAACCACTAACAATGAAAATCATTATGACTACTACTCAAGGAAAAATGAGAAAACAGACGTGCTGTTGGCCCAGAGTTGAGGAGAGAAGATAAACTCATCTGCTACAGCAAATCTGTACTGCATTGTGTCAAAGCACAAAAATATTACTCATTCTGCACTTAATCTCACTGCTGCATGTTCTTGCCAATGGAGAAAGAAGCCAATAGTGAGAAGCCAATACAGATGCTCAGGTAACACGTAATGAGAAAGCATGAGAAGAACCTAGAGTGTGACTCCTGGCTTTTTGGATACACTGGTAAAGAAGATGGGAAAAACATACTGACAGCAGTTGTGAGGATCGGAAACAAACAAGGAAAAGACGAAAGTATGAAAAAAAAGAAAAAAAGGATAGGAAAACGGGGGTGAGGGGTGGGGGGCGTGATGGGGGGGCAGCAGAGGGGAAAAAAAATTAAAACGAGAGGTCACAGAGACAACGCGAACAGGACTGGTTTCCCTGTAGGAAGAACACGAGGTGATGCATGCCTTTTCTTTCTTTCTTTTACAACACAGGTTATTTCTCTTTTACCCCACTGTTCACAAACCACCATAAAATAAAGTAAAATAAAGAAACTAGAGGTAAAAGGAACAACCCAAGAAAAAACACATAATAAAACTAATCAGAAATTCAGACAGTTTGCTGCCTACAGAAGGGAAAATACACAGGAGGATGTAGGTAAATCTAGTGAGGAAGAGGTAGCACAAGTGAAGCAAGTAGAAAAATGGAACCATCAATATAGAACATTAACAAGTTACTATTACATTGCTTTCCTTTTTTTTTTTTAAATAAAGTCTCACCACATTTCATAAAACTCTCACTGATACTTTCTTAAAGGCAGTTCTATAAGCAAGTAGTTCCACTAAAGTAAATACTGCTTACAAAGGCAAAAGCCTGCAAGCTTCTGCCTTAATACATTAGCACAAATTTTCTTCCTAAAAGAAATGTTTATGAACATATTAACGTTCATATCGATACTTAAAACAGTAGGACTTTGTGGTAATTAATAACAACGTTTCAAATAAGCTGTAATAATCTTTTAACCTATGAGAAATATTTTACATTCCTTTCAAAATAAACTGCTATTCAAAGATTGTGATATTTTTAATTAACAAAACAGTCCTTAATCTGTAAAAGAATAATGAGACATGGCAGATAACCTTGCAGCCTAATTTAATAATATAGCTTTCTTAATTCTTGAATTTATCAGAAAGACATAGCAGAAAACATACATACAGCATCACTGCATACATTTATGAATTCTATATAAAGTGCATTCTAAGAAGTGTAGTTTTAGATTATTAAAGCTCACAAGTTTTAAAATAATACATTAGATATAGACAAAAAGACATATAATTATACCTTATTATAACGATCATGAGGAACAGACTGCAACACGATAGGTTCCATTGTAGAAACATTTGCAAACTGCACCTCGGGAATGTACAGAGCACAAACCACATGAGCCCAACCTACAAAAAGTTATAATTGTATTTAATTTTAATGTTTTCTAGAAGCTCAAAAGACATGTCAATGATAGCACAAAGAATCTTTTACAGCACTTTTTTCCATGGACTATTTTAACTGTTTAGAATATTACAGACCTAGAGTTACTTAAGTCATGTTTACTTTTCGTATCATCCGAAGTTTGAATAAACTTAAAAACGTATTACAGCTTATCTAATGGCAAATTTATACAAGTAATACTCCTTGAAATCCAAATACTAATGATTTACACAAACAGTGACACACAAATGGAAAAACAGGTTATTTCTTTAAATTTCTTGGATTAACATACTCGTTGCATAAAAGCTATATAAATTCCTGCAAAAGGGAAATACCATCTGAATGAACTGGTATTCATTACAAGCATTACCATCATATAAGACCTCTGTGTATACTTTCTATTTAAACAAAGTCATTTTCATTTGACTAGACTCCTGTTTTCTTTCTATAGAAAGAAATCCTAACACGCATACACACCCACATCCCCTCTATCAAATCTCTTCCTTCTTTAAAGGTGTGGCCAACTCATTTTTTCATAGCAATATCAACTCCTATATCCAGTCCTGTTCTAACTCATTAACTTGTGGTCAACAATAAATGCTTACCATACTGTGCTTTAACATTTCAAGAAGTAAACATTCCTAATTGTCTGACATTTGGTTGGATGGGGGCAGAGGCAAACACCAATTCAGAAAGAAACCTACTAATTTTAGGCCTTTTTTCAACACTAAGATCCTGAGAGTTGTCGGTTTGTTTCAGTGGAGGACAGTTTGCCATAACCGTAAATTCAGCAGAAGCTGCTATATAGCTAACCCATCATATTAATATGCTGACATTAATAACAGGATTGCAAGGGTAATATTGCATAGCACAGCGCTACCTCATCTGAAAGTGAATTTGGTGTGGCTAACCGTTAGTGTGAACTCTGGTCTCCCCCAAGAGGAAAACTAGTTTTTTGTCACAAGACCTCCAGTACACCTTAAAAATAATTGTGCTTTCCTCCTACGCAGGCTTTCTTGTATGCAAAGACTAAGGACATAAGACAACAGACTTACATAATTAGATAATCTAGCAGATTATTAGATTCAGTAAACAAAGTAAATTATCATTGTTCAAATGCACCCTATAATGAAAAAAAAAAAAAACAAACCCACAAACCAACAACAGAAAAACCCCCACGCCAAACCACCATACTGCCTCACTGCAGACCTTTTTGTTTTCAAATTGCATTTTATCCTTTTAACTACTCTTTACTGAATCCTGAATCTAAAGGTTTTTTATTTCTTCACTCAACTGTACTTTGACTCTCAAAACTGAGGTAAATGTAAAGCTGCACTTACAGCAGCATTGTTGAGACTCTGGAATGGTATTTAGCATCTGGAATTGCATAGGTGCTATGTATTCTTTTCTTAAAGCACAAATCTTTTCTAGTTGCTTCCAACTGACTGGTGTGTTCCCCCCCCCATTTCCTAAATTGGTAGTTACAATTTGTACAGAAAATGCAAACCGCACACATAACTGTTACAGTCACCACTCTCAACGTAACATGTATCCATATAGTATTTCATCTGCAACTAAATACATTATCTGTGCAGCTTCATCCATTTATTCACAAGTAGTTTGTAGAATTCCACACAGAAAAAGCACGAGACTAATAAAATAATATAAACTAACAACTTGAGCTGCTTTTAAAAATAGTTCCAACAGACCATTTTAAAATTATCATTAAGAGACAGACTGAAAAAAAACACCTATAAAAACCACAGTCTTTTTTTGTTCTCTACTCCACTTGAACTATCTTCAGGGAATAAGTGTTTATAAGGACTTTTCTAAGACTTGCCAACTTCCCTAAGCCAGAGTCATCTTACTAAAGACAGTCAAATAAATGTTAACACTGTGTTAATTGTGAATATTTATCTTTAAATCTCCTCTCAAAAAATTAACTCAAATAGAAACATCATTCATCTAATAAAGCCACTAAACCAGTAGAAAAGTGACACTGAAATTTTGGAACAAAAAAACCTTCTTCAGTTATTTACACATAAACAGATGGCAAAAGCTTTTACTTCAGACATAATTAAGTCAGTAATCCAGTTACACTTACAATGAAAAGTTATTGTGTAAACATACAAAATATACCAGAAACAGTAAAAAAAAAAAAATTAAAAAAAAAAATCACTTACCTAAATTTCAGTTGGCTTAGTAAGTAAACAATTTTCACTACAAGAAACCAGTTTCAGAAGTAACTTTAACTGAGCACTACTCCATCGCCATCAAAAAAAAAAAAAAATTAAACAATACAGCCAGAAACCTACAAGCTTAATATATTCTGATTTCCAAAATACAGAGCACACATCCAGGATAGCTGTGGGCAATAGCACAGTTTCATCTTTCATGAAAACAAGACCAGTATCTATATAATGAAACAAATTAAATGCCACAGAACTAACACACTTTTTGAACAAGCAGTCAGTAAGCACCCACGGAATTGAGGACAAGGGACCTTTTCCATTGATTTCCATCTGGCATCTTTAGATCCCAGATAACCTGACCTTGCTGAAAAATCACCACCTGTCCCATAAAAATTTAGCCATAGGAAAGGCTGCAGCACCCTTATGTTACCAGTCTCAAATCCCTACATCAGAAAAGAAGCCTAACTCCAGCACCACTCAGACTCGGACACCTCATACAGAACTGCTTAAATGTTCTTTTCTCCAGAGTTTCACAGGTGAAGAAAGAGAAAATTGTCAGAGTGCAACACCAGCTCATTTGGAAGAGCCAAAAGAGACAGAGGTTCAAAAACCCTGAAGAAAGAATAAGGAAGACATTTTTCTGTAACAAATGTGGTTAAGGACTGGTTGCCTAGCAGTGCTGTGGACTCTCCATCTTTGGAGAACTCAAGGTCTACAGACTCCTCCACAAAACTTTTCAACTTAAGGGAGGTCAATAAGATTCAGTTTTGCTATGTAAGGACCAGATAATAGCAGAAGAAAACAGAAAAAGAAGCAATCAACCATCATCTTTTTTCCTAAGCATCAAAAGACTAGTCACTGTTGCCACAAAGAGTATGCACGGAAGTCAGGACACCTACAGCCAAACAAAGTAAGCGTGACAGCTCTCCTCTGTCTCCCTGATGGAAAAGTGAGCTACTAGCATACAAGCAGACTTTATTTTTAATGTTTTCTGCAACTGAGAGGGCTCTTGGCTATATAATACAGCCTCCCCCATCCTCCATTGCCAGTTTCTTCTCTTTTAGACAACCACTCTCAGAGCACAGAACTCGGATAACACAGAATAAAGTACCTACTGCCAGGCTCAGACTTGAGTGCTTTTGTCTGCTATTTCTTACTGGACGACAATTGCCTACTTTGTCTGCAGGGGTAATGAAACATCCTAAAGAGACACCCATCCAAACTGTACACACAGCCAATAAAAGCAGCAAGTACTTATAAGGACTTACGATATCTAAGACTATATCAAAATACATATTTTTCAATTAACTCTATCTAAGCCATAAAGATTGCGCTGCAAACTTCCTACTCAAATTACTTGCTACATTATTCTTGGGCAACCATCAACTTCATCAGCAACTATAGACTGCCCACCCACACCCCCCCAAACCCATCATTAAATCCAGTCCTTTTGAGCTTTCCCACTGTTTAAGTGTGAAAAATTCTGTGGTATATCCATGTTTTAGAGTTTAAAAACTCCAGTAGCACTGTTCTACACATTCAATAACATTTAAAACTTTATGACTCATTTCTGGTAGAACTGAAATTATTTTATTACCATTTCTCTTCACCCAAAACACTGCACAGAAATAACAGGATACTCTGACTTTTCTTAACTGTTCTCCAGACTTAGCGAGGAACTTGTGCCATTTTTCAGATCACTTATTTCGAACGAGTTTATTAAAGCCATCAGTATATACCACATCCTTTACTATTTAAATCAATGATAAGCCTCCATTCACTTTGGTTGTGCACAAACAACCAGCCACAGATTTATTACTCACTTATTAGCAATTACTGTAAATTTATAAGTTAAATAAATTCTTACTATTCCCACTGAATTGCTTGTACTCAATTTACTTTTGCTTTCATCTCCCTTTCAGGACAACTTCAACTGGAAAGGGGGGCAGGCAAATGCAGATACTGGCATCTTGCAAAATGCTCTTAAAATTCTCCCTACCCTCAGAATTTTTTTTTTTTCTTTTTTTCTTATTTAACATACTATTTTTCAGTCTTTGAGAAGGCGGCCATTTGTCATATGTGCTTTCTCAACAAAAATTTTTCTAGATTATAATTATAGGCCCCCTTTCGGTACTGAAAGGCTGCAATAAGGTCTCCTTTGAGCCTTCTCTCCTCCAGGTTGAACAACCCCAACTCTCCCAACCTTTCCTCATAGGAGAGGTGCTCCAGCCCCCTGATCGTTTTTGTGGCCCTCCTCTGGACCCACTTGAGCAGGTCCATGTCTTTCCTGTGCTGAGGACTCCAGAGCTGGACCCTGCACTGCAGGTGGGGTGTCACCAGAGCAGAATACAGGGGGTGAATAACGTCCCTCAACCTGCTGACCACACTGCTTTTGATGCAGCTTTTAGCAGGGCCTGTTGCAATACGACAAGGGGTAATCGTTTCAAACTAAAAGAGGGCAGATTCAGACGAGATAAGGAAGAAGTTTTTTTTACAATGAGGGTGGTGAGACACTGGAACAGGTTGCTCAGAGAAGCTGTGGATGCCTCCTCCCTGGAAACATTCAAGGTCAGGCTGGACGAGGCTCTGAGCAACCTGATCGAGTTGAAGATGTCCCTGCTCACTGCAGGGGAGCTGGACTGGACGCCCTTTAAAGGCCCCTTCCAACCCAAACCATTCTATGATTCTATAATATCTGGCTTGCTTATTTTAAAATAAACCTAGGCTTTAGCTTACAAACAAGAAATTAAGAACCATATTGTAAGGATTCAAAT